TCTTCACGTGGGCCCAGCCCGCCTGGCTTACAGAGACACTGAACCGGGGACACGATCCCAACCTTTCTGAAGAAAAAGTTCCGCTTTAAATAACTATCTGTGACAAGTATTCCGGATGACTTGTGTACACAGAAATTGGGGGTCTGTGTCTTCCCTCCGCCTGTTAGCTATGAGTTCCTCTTGAGGCGTTTGCAGCCGGCGCGTCCCTGTTGGGTGAGGCCTGTGTCTTCAGCCTGTGTTCTCAGCCTGTTGTCCCTTCTGAGGGCGGGAGAGGACCACAAGCCCCCCAGTCAGCTCGTGGAAAGGAAAAGTGCCGTCACCCACGGCCGCAGGCCCCTGACCCAGACGGCTGTGTCACCGATGGCCAATGCTCTCTTTCCTTCTCTTTCCTCCGAATTCTAGGCACATTCAAAGCAATAATCAGCCTCCACAGCCCCCAGTTCCGCCCCTTGGCTACGTGTCCGGAGCCTTGATGTCGGACGTGGAGACAGATGTCCCGGACGATGATGTCGACGACGAGGAGGAAGCCCTGGAGATGCCCCGGCCCCTGCGAGCCCTGGACCAGACGCCCGGATCCAGTGTGGACAATCTCGACAGCTCCGTGACAGGTAACGGGGCGCGTTTCATAGTCACAGCTGACCCATCTGCACCGGTAAAAGGCATCAAAATCAAACACTTCCCTGTGTAGGGCTTATTCCACTCCGTCCATTTCTGTAACATTTTAAATATGTTAATATTAAATACAAAATTCAGAAAGGATTTGGCACTACTTGGGCTTTGCTGCAAAAATGATAAGAAAATTCATGAATTTTAAAAAGCTTTAAAGACATGAAAGAAAACTCAATTATATCCAGGGCTTTCATGAAAAGTTCACTCTGTGAAGGAACCAAGTCTATTACATAAAAAAACCGTGACTTTTAGAAATGATATATTTTGTACATCAGGCCGACATACAAAGTGAGTGCCGCCTTAAGAAGCTTCTTGATAGTTCACCATTCGCTGATGACAATTAGCAAGTCTTCAGGGAAGCCTGTGGGGGCGGGGCGGGGTGTTGTTTGGAGAGTGCAGGGGAAAACAGCCTCCCACCTATGGGGATAAGCCATCCACATATGCAGTCCTCCTTGCTGAATCCAGAGAACCGCCCCCTAGAAACCCTGTGGTCCCCACTGCCCACGCCTGTGGCTTGCCGCTGCCCTGTCCACCCAGCGAGACTCGGTGGGGCTCTCCCGGGAGGACCCCAGGACTGGCGCACCACCCACTTCCAAGGATTTACCTTGCTTGCGCTTTGTTAGGCAATGCTACATCCTAACAGGTGTGCAATGAATATGAGAAAAGTCAACAGTCAGCCTCGCGTTTCGAACAGCGATCCCTTCCGTGGCACCCAAGGAAGTGCCTCTCCGTGACTGGGGAGACGCAGCTGCTACCAACTTAGGTCTGACCTCGGTGCTCCGGCGGGTCTTCTCACAAGACGGCTGCCACCTGCTCTCTGGCTGGCGCCTCTCATCCTGGAGGGTGTTCTGCCACGATGCCACTCCGTTCGCCTCCAGCCGCGGCCCCTGCGGGCCTGGTGGAGGCCTCGGGCTGGGAAGGGCCTCCACCTGGCCGTCCCCTGCTCTTCCCTGCCCTGTGCCGTCCAGGACGGGCCGCTTTGTCCTCCTCTGCCCCAGCTGGGCGGCCCACCAGCTGGCAGGGATCAAAGAGCAGAGGTAGGCAGCTGTGATCTGCAGTCCAGAGCAGAGTGGAAGTCGGCGTCTCGGAACACAGCGTGCCAGCCTATGGGCTACCCTGCCATCAAGCTCCCCTGCCTGAATTCTCGGCATCACCTTCTTCCAGATAAATCCAGCATATTACTGTATATTTCAAAAACGATACTGAACCCTTTCCATTACGAATGCAGCCAAGAATTGCAATAATAATGAAACACGTCGGCAGTCGCCTATGGAGGTTTCTCATTCAATATTTAGTGTCAAAGATGCCACACGCATCTCTGCACGGGGAGAAGGCCGTCCTTAGCTTGGCACGCTCACCTGCAGCATGTCGGGCTGTGGACGGTGTCTGCGGCCCAGGCACCTGCGTCCCCCCCAGCCATGCAGGCTTCATGCCAAGGGAAGCTTTCGGGCTAAGAAGGACAAAGAAGGCCATGGCTGTTTCCTCCTTGAGTTCAGTGCGTGATTGCTGCCACGTATGAAGACCTCAGGGTTTAGGACGTGTCCTGATCTCCTTGGTGACAGAAGTTCCACTCTACACAAAGCAGCCCAATGGAAATTCCTTTTTTTTTTGAGTTGGAGTCTCACTCTGTCGCCCAGACTGGAGTGCAGTGGCCGCTCCCGGCCACCGCAGCCTCGCCTGCTGGGCTCCGGTGATCTTTCCGCCTCAGCCTTCCAAGTAGCCGGAATTACAGGCACACGCTACCACGCCCGGCTGATTTTTTGATTTATTGTAGAGATGAGGTCTCGCTGCCCAGGCGGGTCTCGAACCCGCGGGCTCAGGCCATCCACTCACCTCGGCCTCCCAAAGGCGCAGGATGACAGGCTGAGCCACCAAACCCGGCTGGAAATTTCTTTTCTTTCTTTCCCTTCTGCACAATAACTTTGGGCAGAAGGTGTGAGCAGAGACTTCATTTGCTCTCTCAGGTGTGTGTGTATGTGTGTGCGAGCGTGGGGAGTGTAGGTGAGTGTGTGCACACGTGTGGGTGGACATGCAGTGTGCTGTAGTGTGGGCATGTGTGTGTGCACACGTGTGGGTGGACACGCAGTGTGCTGTAGTGTAGAACAGCCTTGAGGTGGACGTCCACAGGGACAGAGGATTCGAGAAATCGTCATGCTGATGGACACTGCCCCAAGGTGCTGGAGTTTTCCACAGACACTCAGGGCTGGCTTTAGGCTGCTGAATGAGGTGACGTTGGATAGCCGCCCTTTCCACGGGCATCGTATATGTTTATGATGCAAAGTGCCCATCAGGAGGGTCCAGAGCTCACCATCAGTCACTTCGAGTTTGTGGTGTGTATAAATTAATGGTGGTGTTCACCTCAGATTCCCCCATAGTTATCTGCATTGTCATGAAACAAGGAACGATTTTTATCAAATAGACCTGGCATGCCCCACCTCCCAGTGCCACGTGGGGGATGTCCATGGCAAGGGGACAGAGCCCACCTCTGTGTGCTGGGCTGCCACCACTCCACAGCCCACATGAGGGGCGTCCACAGCAAGGGCACAGAGCCCCGTCTGTGTGCTGGGATGCCCATCCCACAGTGCCACATGAGGAACTTCCACGGCAAAGAACAGAGCCTGTGTCTGAAGAAAGAAGCACTTTCCCAGCAAGTATTTCCATACTGACTGTTGGGGAGAGCTTCACAAATTTTGAAATGACGGTTTGCAGTTGGAAAAGGCCCCAAAGAGAGAGAAACATCAGGAAATTCATATCCATGGTCTCAGTAAGGAAAAACGTGTGCTTGCAGATCCATGGCATTGTTGATTTCGGCAAGAAACAGTTGCTGAATGCCTGTCGCTTCCAGCCACTTGGCTGGGAATTTAGGCTCACTAATAATAGAGCACAGCACAAACACAGACTTCGGTAAGGGCAAGGCGCCTTCTAAGCAGTGGCCTGTTTTGGGTGACCTGTGAGCTGAGAAGAGTTTTCACGTTTTTAAAGGGTTGGAAGAAAGCAAGAAACCAACAAGCAAACAAAAACAAAGATAAACCTAAGACAGAGAAAGCAAAGGCTAAAATGGTTGGCTTCTGTCACTTTCTAGGAGACGTCTGCTAGGCCCTATTCTGAAGCTTTATTGTGTATGCGTACATTTCATCCTCATAACCCTATTAATATTACGATGATTCTCATTTCATAGATAAATGAGTCGCCCAGGGGTCGAGAGCCTTGTTCAAGGTCACCCACTTGATAAGTGGCAGGAGAGTGTTCATAATCAATCAGTCTTTCTCTCAAGAGAAACTGTCATGGTCCCTGGAAGCATCAATGTCCTCCCAATCTCTGGAATTAGCATATTTAAGAGGAAAATAACACTCCGACCTGTTGCTTACTATGTAGATCTGTGTGTGTGAATTTGTACACACGTGAATACGTATATATTTATATAAACAGAGCATAACATTTTATCTCTGGAAACATTAGTCCTTTCTCCCAATTCATGTAATCAAGGTCAAAATGTTAATTGTTGGATGTGATTTTTATGGCTTTTTTTTTTTATATTGAGATATGTTTGCTTACAGTGGTCCATGCTAACAAAATTCAACCCCATCAACACTTTTTGTAGGGAATCTCAATTTTATACCTTTTGTTTTTATTCCATGCTCAGAACGTACCCTGATGTGGTTGTAGTAAAATACAGAAGCATTTTTTATTCCCTGTGTCACACTCTGGGGCTAGAAGGTTGACATTCAGGACTGTTTCAGTCTTCAGGAACATTGCCTGTAATATTTCTTGCTAGACGCCAAACCTTGGGGTCACCGGGGAGAAGCCTTTAATACCTCTTTCTGTAACCCCCGTGATGGGAGTCAAGGGCAATTGTTTCCAGAATTTTATGACACCACCAGGAATAAAGAAACAAGGCCTAGGAGAGCGGGCGCATGTCCTCAGCATGCCGCCAAGATTCTCACTGCCTCAGTGACCCCGAAAGGGAAGGCCGGTGTGTGTGCCAGGAAGTGATACAAATAAAGTTTCCTTGCCTGTGGCCCCTGCGTGGACACCATGGCTGAGAGGAAATCACGACTCCATTTTCTGTTTTATGTTTCTGGAGGTTTCTACTGGAACTCCCACACCAGATCAGACTGAAACAGTGAAAACTGGCAGCCTCACCCTCGACCCACCGGACCACACAGATCTCAGAGCCTTGGTAGCTGCAAAGTATGACCTGAAGCTTTGCTTTTGCTACAGAAACTGAAGGCAATAATTTTGGTGTTAAGGAAAGTCTCATGGATAATGCTAACATAATTGCATCAATTTTCTAGGCTACTTCAGCAGTTTTCATGTCTTTAGAGAGAAACTAAACATATACTCCAAAACTTTACAGGTAAAAAGGGAAATATTCTATGGGCAATTTTCATCTGAGTGACACAAGGTAACAGGTGTCTTGTGTCCCAAGAAAGATGCTTCAATGTGCTTATTTTGCTTTCCATGTGCTTTCCACATTTCTTTATCTCTGAGGAATGTGAGTGGCATTGCAGCATATCGATAAATCTGGGTGAAAGAAGAACTCCTATAGATTACATATGTCTTCCTACCTCTAAGCGGAGGTCAGTATTTGGATTGATTTGTCTAAAGACATTTGTAACTGTGACTTTTATGCAACAGGTAGACAAATAGCACTTAGTAGGAAGAGTCCTCAGATTAAATATTGACTGAAAAAATGGGCAGAGCTGGTTTTTGTATCTCATAAAAATGGTAATGCAACAATTAGCCGGGTCGTATTATGAAGCCCAGACTTTACTCAGCTTAATGCGTCTATGCATACGCATTTATCAGCAAGGAAGGATTTAGCATAAAGCGACACGTAAATGAATTGATGACTGATCATACATTAATTTGAGTGCTGAAGATGTAATGGAGACACAGCAAGATGCCACTTTATCATGGGATTTTACTGCTCAGTAGC